ACCCCCCAAACTTACTTTTCTACCAAGCAATGTTCAAGCATTCATATCTCTCTTTTTGCAGGGTTGACAGCCATAAAATTGTATAGGGATCCTGAGCATATATTGGTCTCATCATACAAAATTTAAAAAGTGTGTTAAACACAACAGAAGATGTTGAAAATGTGCCTCAAACTTTAGCAATTTTACCAGAAAAGCAAACGACCGAAATCAAGATATCAGTACATTTTGAGATAATACCTTCCAATAATCAAATTTAATCAAAGACTCACAGCCAGGAATTCTAACAATGCTTTGATAAGGACAAATCTATCCAATTTTTATAAATACAAGATGGCTGCCATCAATTCTGTCCCAAAATACAGTTACCGTAATTCCTCAAAATAATCAAGAGGCCCATTTTGCAGGTTTTTTATTTTGAGATCTGTAATACAGGATTGCTCAGATAATATTTTTTTCAAACAGAGCCATACAACTTCTGAATAAATTAAAATGATTAGTGACAAGTTATTCAATCCCCCACCCCCACCCCCACCCCACATTCAATGAGTTATTACTGTGCATATCCAATGTCATCAGCATTGTGCATGTATCTTATTTTCAGGGAGCAAGAGAGAAAAATTTTTAAGCAAGGCAGCAAAGCTGTAAAATGTACAGACAAAAAGCTGAAAATAACAATGCACAAAATAGGCTACTGTCAATTCTGATGCAAAAGTACATTATGCTTAACTGCAAATTCAATATGAAATTTTAATTATGCTCAACAGGTAATACCAATGTAAGTAAAATGTGTAACAAGTGTAACAAGCATAAGGTTTCAGGCCCATGAGAGTTCACACTTTGAAAGTGCCAGAATGAGAAAAATGAAAATTTTACACAAAATTGCATAAATTCAATAATAAACGATAACCTAATTGAGCTGGCTTTCTAATTTGAACTGCATGCCAATCCTAAAAATCATACTTGTAAGTTAAAAATAATAATAATAAGTAACACAGTTTTCTTTTCAAAATGTTTGTAGTAGCAGTGCATTTTTGTCAATTTTGATGTATCATTACAAAATTAATTACAGAATAATTATCACCAATTTTTTATTATTGACTATAAATAGCATGGACATGTAGAAAATTTGGTTACCATATGGCTTTATGTCCATGGGAGCTCTGAGTCCCACAATGAATATGCCAACACGATAAAAATGAATATTTCACTAAAATGTATAACTTCAAGAAAAAGAAGCCATTTAGACTGCTTTTTCAACTCAGGCTGCATTTTAGTCCTGTGTTTCTTTTTTGAAAGTTTGACAATCATAAGTAACATGGTTTTCCCATAATGGTCATCATGGCAGCAGCTCCCAAAATTGTGTTTTCTTCTATTTTGATGCAATATTACATAATGCTTAACAGCATAATGACCATCAATTTTTGATAATAAAATATACGTATCATGGATTTTCAGAAAATGTGACTCGCATGGGTCTTCAACCCTGTGGTGGTTCTAAGTCACACCTTGAAAATGCCAATGTGTGAAAAAGTCGATTTTGGCCCTATGTTTCTTTCCTGTAAGTTTGAGAACAGTAAGTGACATGGTTTTCCTTAAATGGTCAATATGGGATCAGTGCCCAAAATAGGGGTGTCTTGAAATTTTGATCCAACATTACATAATGTTTAACAGCATATTGACCATCAATTTTTAATAATAAGATATTAGAATCATGAATATTCAGAAAATGTGACTAGCAAAGGTCTTCAGGACCATGGAACTTCAAAGTCACACCTTGAAAATGCCAATTTGTGAAAAATTAGATTTTTACAAAAAATGATTAACTGCCAGAAAAATTTACCAAAAAGACTGCATTGCTTACTGAAGCTGTATTTTAGTCCTGTGTTTCTTTCTGTAAGTTTGAAAACAGTAAGTGGCATGGTTTTCCTTAAATGGTCATCATGGAAGCAGTGCCCAAAATAGGGGTTTCTTCAAATTTTGATGCAACATTACATAATGTTTAACAGCATAATGACCATCAATTTTTAATAATAAAATATTAGTATCATGGACAAACAGAAAACATGACTAACAAATGTTTTTAGGCCCATGGATCCAAATTGACACCTTAAAAATGCCAAAATATAAGCACCGTTCTGAAATGGGTTTATTTCTATTTTTAACACTTTTTTAACATAAAACAAAATTATCATTTTTTTACGGCACTTTTTATAGATCAACTAAGAAAATTGATGAGATGTGAAAAATATCAATAAAACAGTGTTAAATGTCTTATTTCTTCCATTCTAAGATTCTGAACATAGTGAATGATTGAATCTGACAAACTGCAATGATATGAGTTTATTTCCATTTTTGACACTTTATTACACAATACATGATAACAAGTTTACCATCATTTTTACATAATCCACTAACAATGTTGTAAAGATGAAGGAAATGTCAAACAAACACTTTTACGTATCTTATTAGTTCAATAACGAGACTGTTAACATGCCTAAGAATTGAATCTGAGGAAATGTGAAACAAGTCAGCACTGTTCTGAAATGTTTTTTTCCCATTTTTAACAATTTTTTAACATAAAACAAAATTAACAGTTTACTGCCATTTTTATATGATCAACTAAGAAAATTGATGAGATGGGAAAATATCAATAGAATAGTGTTAAATATCCAATTTCTGCCATTCTGAGATTCTGAACATACTGTATGATTGAATCTGACAAAATGCAATGATATGAGTTTATTTCCATTTTTGACACTTTATTACACAATACACGATAACAAGTTTACCATCATTTTTACATAATCAACTAACAATGATGTAAAGATACAGGATATATCACACAAACACTTCCATGTATCTTATTAGTCAAAAAATAAGACTGTTAACATGCCTAAGAATTGATTTTGAGGAAATGTGAAAAAACAGCATAACTTCTAAAATAATGACCCGATCATGCCGATTTTCGAACTTGACCTGCGTTTTAGTAAGATTGATTACTCCTGTGCGTTTCATGACAACAGGTCTATCGGTTTTTCTTGAAATGTGTTTACAGTGTTGTATATATGCTGAAAAGTGAAAAAAACAGCATAACTTCTACAATAATGGCCGGATCATGCTGATTTTCGAACTTGACCTGCGTTTTATGAATATTCATCAGCTCTGTAAATATAAAGCCAAAAAGTAAAACTGTCTTCCACTTATCTTTTAAATAGCTAAAAAATGATATATTTTGGCAAAATTGCGGATAAAAGACCTTCCCCCATATCTCTAAAACTAATGATCCAAAATAAGAAAGACAGTGGCTCACAATATCTTTCATGTTGGTGGTTTACCACACCAAAAATTATTAAAATCTGCTGACCCCCACCTTGCCGCCTTCTGACCGATCTGTCTGGCTTTCTCATGGACGCGCTCTTAAATGTTTTTTTTTTTTTTTTACGTATTTTTGTTTTAATAATATATTATCTTTTGCAGACGTATTTGAGTGTAAGCCTTGTGTTACTGCGGTGTGTGTGTGTGTACTGTGCGTGTGCGTGTAGACATGTACATGTATGTGTTTGCGTGTGTGTGTGTGTGTGTGTGTCTGTATTTTTTGCATGTATACCTTACCAATTGGGGCCATACTAAGACATCATAAGATTGGCTATCATATTTATACTGATGGCACACATATTTTTACTTGTTGCAATCTAGAAAATCCAAATGAATCTATTGATATATTGTCTGAATGTATTGATGATCTTCGCGGGTGGCTGATTAGTAATAAGTTGAAAATTAACGATGGAAAGTCTGAACTTTTGGTAATAAGTCAGCCACATAATCGTATGATAGCACAACAAATTCAGCTCAAAATTGGATCAAGCATTATTAAGCCAACACCTCATGCAAGAAAAATTTGGTGTATTTTTAGATGGATCACTTTGTATGAACAAACATATTGCCAGTGTATGCAGGTCAGCGGTTTTTAACATTAGGAACATAAGTTTAATTCGCAATCAGTTGTCTGACTCTGCTGCAGCCACAGTTATAAATTTAGTTACATCTCGATTAGATTACTGCAACTCCATTTTATACGGTTGTCCAAAGAAACAAATTGCTAGACTGCAGCGCATTCAAAATATTTCGGCCAGATTATTAACTCGGACATCCACAAGTATACACATCTCCCCAGTTTTAAAAAGTTTACACTGGCTACCTCTACAAGCCAGAATTTTATTCAAATTTTTAGTTTTTACTCACGATGCTTTTTATGGATTGGCACCAATCTACATCAATAAATTGGTCAGTCACTATGTTCCAATGCGTAATCTGCGGTCTGTAGACCAATTGCTACTCAACCCAGTAAAAATGCGATAAAAAACCTACGGTGATATATCTTTTAAAGCTGCAGGTCCAAAGGAATGGGATCTATTACCGCTGGAAATCCGAGCAATTCAGTCTACCAAACATTTTAAAAAAGAACTCAAAACATACCTTTTTAGGAAATATTTTGATTAACTCTTAATTGGTTTCATAAATCTTGTATTAATTTCATTTAATTGTATGGAATAATGGCTGTTTTACCTAGATTTTATTTATGATATTTTATGTAGTATTATTTATGATATTTTATGTAAAGTCTACTGAACATTTTAAATAGTTTTTTAGACTTAAAATATATTTATTATTATTATTATTATTATTATTATTATTATTATTATTATTATGTGACAAGGAGTATCCTACTCGAATAAACACATTTGTTACTGTTTGTACACTATGTTCAACATTACCATATCCAGGGACAGAAAAAAGTTCATGGTTATATTTTTCCAGCTAGCTAAATACGTCATCCATCCTACAGGACAGGACATAAAGCTGCTTACAGCATTCTTCTTAGATGCCAGGATTGTGCTAGAGGACCGTATGCTGTTACCCGGACATGGCGACCGGAGGGGCAAGACCGAAAACAAATTCCATTTGGGGGAATGCTCTTGGGTGGTTGACTGGAATACAAAATGAAAGGTATACATGATAAGTGATTCATCTGTTCACCCTCTTATTGATTTCATCACCTACGTGTTAATTTTTCTAGATAAATGAAGTACGTGATAGCTATTTTTGTCATTTTTATATATAATAATAAATAATATTTTCATTCGTCAGTCACCATTTTTGTATTTTTCTATTTCATCACCTCAGGGAGTGCATTCAATTGTCGTCTTTTTTCGTATCCATCTTTTTAATTATTTTGCTACGTGGTGACTTTTTGTCCTTCTACAGTGACGGAAAGACAGGATCGCAGATATGGGAGGGAGCAGAAAGCAGACGGCGGTAGATGTACGTACGTTAAAGATTCGTTTAATAAAACACAAATGTTAAATGGACCTAAATGCTGATAATAAGTGTTGCCTTTCTTGTCTTTTTTTTCCATCATCTATATTATTTTGTTTTATTTATTAATTAATTAATTTATTTATTTATCATTATTATTATTATTTTATTTATTTATTTATTTATTTAATTTTTTGTTTGTTTTGGTATGAAAATTAAACAACCACTAGTTTTATTAACGAAGGCAATTCGAATTAAGGAATAATGCCGAACCTTAGATATAGCTTTTTTGTTGTCTTTTTTTCGACAGACTACACTGCTCAGGATTTCCTCGGTGCCTCAACGGCTAGCTATGATCTTCTTGGAGGTTTACCAGATACGCTATCTAGTCAGTTAAACATTTCAAGACGCAAGAAATCCAAATACGAAAAATTCACCGAATCCCTGACAAATCCATCCCAAAGTGCTTACTTTACAATGGGCGTGAGTGCCGAGATTTTCTGCGCCGTCACGGAGCTGGTTCAGGGAACGTGGCAAAGCAAGAAAACAGGGCGTGGGCGAGACACGCGAAACCTTGAGCACACCTTTATTGTGGTAAAGAGAGTCGAGGCCATCAAAAACGAAGGTTTACTAGAGCGTTATAAAACTACCAAGCGGCAGCACCGCTTACGTCAAACACAGGGCCGCTTAAAACCTTATTATTACGTGGATCCCACAATGAAAAAGCCCATGACTGTTGAGACCGAATCCCCTGTATTAGATACACTAAATGAGGACATCAATGAACAGTACCTGTTTCACGGAACAAAGAGTGCAAATATACCATCTATTTGTGCTATGGGGCCAGATTTCAGGATTGCTCGCAAAGGAATGTTTGGTCGAGCAATTTATTTGTCAGAGAGCGCCACCAAAGCGGATCAGTACGCAGGTACGTCTAGGTGGGCATGGAGTACGCCTTCGTATGAATATGCGTACTACTGCTCGTGTTAGTTTTCTCATTGTCACGTCTTATTTCTGTTGTCGTGATAATTTCTTTTTAGGAAGGGACAATGTGCACATGTACCCTTTTTTTTCCTCTAGAAGTCTTTCAGAAAAACGAAAATTTAAATTATTCATATGTTTATATGCCATCGGATTACCACAATTAAATTTAATCGAATTATTCTTATTCCAGACGAGATGGACGGTAGACGAACGGAGGACCTCCAAATCCTGATTTGCCGCGTTCTTCTCGGCAATGCCTACTACTGCGAGGAACAACAGACATTAAGGAGATCGCCGTGCGTCTGTGGGGAGAAGATTTGCCGTGACCATCACGAAACCTTCGACTCCGTGATAGGTGATACCAGGAAGTTATTCCGGGAATTCCTCCTATTCACGGCGGACCAGTGTTACCCGGAATACATCGTGACCTATGACCGCATTGATCAATTCCAGGCTAGAGGTAATTATATAAGTTTAATCGAACAGCCAATCATGTTATCATCCAAAGAGTACTTGTTTCATCAAAAAATAATATAAATCGCACTGTTAACGTTTCCATGAATTTTAGTGTGCACATCGTTCAAATGCCAAACGAGAGACCTGTAAAAGTAATGTCAAACAATAGAGCAATTCAAGGATACTAACTCGACTTTATATGTTGATTTTAGCCGTGCCTCAACTACCGTTGACGTCACTATGTCTGAGAGCTGCCGATCCTTCTCTGTTCATGGAGGAAGCTTACAAGGACGATGTGTGTATAAACCTCTCTCTCTCTCTTTCTGTCTGTCTCTGATTTTTCTACTTCCCTCCGTCTCTTTGCATTTAGTCTCTGTAGCTGCTACGTACATTTCCTATTGCTTTAAATGGGTCGGCAATTAACTGTTTTCCAGGTATATGAGATTGCTGTTAAGGGTGCGAATAGGTAAATACCACTGTTACAAAGACTCATATTTTGTCTTCTACTTTCAGGTCTACCAAAACTGTGGCCTGCCGCGTGGACGCGCTGTCATCGTCAACAACATCAATTTCCAGCACCATGAGAAGAGAGACGGGTCAGAAATGGACTGCAAGGCGCTGGTAGAGCTGATGGAACAGATGAGTTATACCGTCATTGTGCATAATGATCTGACCGCACAGGTGAGCAGGTGCGCGCGCGCGCGTGTGTGTGTGTGTGCGTTTGATTGTCAGTGTGCTTGTGTGTGTATGCGTGTCTGTGTGTGTTCATGCGCGTGTTTGAGCATGTGCAAGTATGTGCAGGGATGCATGTATGTGCGTGCGGGTTTTATTTGTTCGTTTATATATATATATATATATATATATATGAATTAGTAAAACAGTTATATAGCGTATTGTTAAATCCTTTTCAGTCAGTGTATCATAATTTATTATCTGTACATTTTGAATGTTATGATTTTAGGGAATCTTTGATGTGATGGAAACTGAAAGCAAACAACCTAGCCACTGGACTAGTGATTCCTTCATCGTGTTCATTCTGAGTCACGGTATGAGTAATGCAGTGTATGGGACAGATGGCTACAGTTTGCCGTACAGTATGATGTATATGCACTTTACCACCGACAGCTGCCCTGCCCTGGCGGGAAAACCAAAAATGTTTTTTATTCAGGCTTGCCAAGGAAGTAAGTAAAAAAAAGTTTAAATAGTTATGGTATGTGTGCATTTTCAGAGTAGTTATAATTATTTGTAAAACATTTTTCTTGGAACGAAATTAATTGTTGACTGACGTTAAGAAAACAAGTTTGTTGTCAAGCAACATGAATACTAAATTAGAAAGTTAGTGCATACAACGGACCAATTTGGTTAAAATAATATATATCGGTGATAAATGGATGACTTGACATTTGAAACCAAAAACTGTATTTCATCCAGCAAAGAAAGACAGTAGAGTCGCGGGAGGTTCCGTCCCTCTAACAATGAGACAAGATGGCGGCCAGTCTGATTCTGTGCGGGCGCGTTGCAATGAAAGCGAGTCCAAATTTGGTGCTACCATGTGTGACATCGCCGTTGCCACGGCAACCACTCCAGGTGGGCAAACACTAATATATAAAAAACAAGACAAACTTAACCAGCCGGGGATTTCATACACAAATAATCGGTTACTTTACTCAACAATGTTTTACGAAATTAAAAAAAAAATGAATTAAGACGCTTATGTTGCTGTTTAATGTTTTGTTAGTTTTCCCCATCTTGACAAATATATTAATTTTTGTTTTTATATTATTTTGAATCAATGCACAATATAATATATTCTCTGATTGCATTCAATTCAATCGTGTTCGTCAATTATACATCCCTTCATTTCAGACTACGTGTCCTGGAGAAATAAGGAGAACGGGTCCTGGTTCATCAACGCCATTGTCAGAGTGTTCAGTGAGGAGGCGAGGAGTAAACACTTTCTGGAGCTTCTTACTTCGGTAGGTCAGGCAGAATGGTTGGACTTTCTGACTTGTATTATTGGGAATTCGTTGCACGTTTTTAAGGGCTTCATTCACTCTGTTATGGTTTCATTCCAATAGTAATTTCTTCAGTCATTTGATAAAGTGAGAGTTACTCAATATTGAATAGTGGTTAGTAGTAACTGATTCTACTCTTGAGTGTCGTTATACTTTGAAGAATTCATTATTGAGTTTTACTGTTATTTCAAGAAATCATTATTGTACCATTGCAGTTCAGATTATTCTTTTCCACCTTTTGGTCCAATATTAGATTGATGTTATATTAAACTCATCATTGCATTGCTGCTATTGTTGTGGTAAAGTGTATCTTGTATTTTATATCACATTTCACCTCTTTGTGGTATTTCAGGTGAACAGCTGGGTTGCCAGTATGAAGACCCAAGGTCAAGGTCAGTACCAGCAGGTGTCCAGCATGGAAACCATGTCCTTCACCAAACGGTTTTACTTCTGGCCCCGCCTCTGTATAGTAAATGGTGAGCTCCAGGAGCTGGACTAGATGTGTGACGTCATGGGATGGCTTGCTTTATATATATTCCCGTTTGTTTTGTTTAATTTTGTGTTGAACTATTTTGTGCTGTTTAATTTACTTTATTTACGTAATTTATTTATTTACTATTTTTCTTTGAATTTTTGTCGTTCATATATCGCCACAACATTACTGATAAGGGACTGTAGGTATCGACAAATGTCTGATTAAAGATAAATATATAAATAAAGAGAGAGTAGTGTGCGCTAACAAAGTACTTGTCCAACATTATAGTAGGCGCTCGTGTTATTTACAACAAGCTAGGCGTCTTTCACGGGTGTTGCAGTGTATTTCTGGTCATGGTTTCCTGTTATTTTTTTAATTAACTTGAAAACCAAATTGACCATTTGTTTAACGTTGATTGAATACATGTGCAATGGGTATTTAATGACTTGTCATGCTGCGTGCCTTGCTGTCAAATACAGTAATATAACGGGATTCGATATTTATATGCTACAAGTAGTTTTTTGCCACAATATTTGTGTTATTTGCTCAATATATGTACTTTTCAAGGGAAATTGCAGCAACGTGTTTTAGGGTCTAATGTGTTGTAGGGAGTGTTAGATGTGAAAGTTACTATTTACATGTTTATTCAGATTCCTTGCCTCGTTCATGTGCTGTGAGGATTATATTAAACTATGGATGTAGAGCTAAACACTGCTACTAAGAATGTGCGCCATTTTCTTAAGAATATTTACTTTTAAATAATAATCCTGCTGCTGGAGAAACAGTGACAATGTTGGGGTATTTTTATTTTCTTGTTCCCAGTTCACTTGGAAAATGAATATACAATTTGAAAAAACGAAATGAATTCAAAAACTAGTGTTGCGATACTAATTAAGTGTTGTGAAATCATCGTTAATGCATATCAAGATTACGTACAACTCATGATCAGTAAAACAGTGAGAAAATCATATTAGCAGCCAGGCGTGATGAAGTCAGATTTATGCGCATCAGCTGGATTGTGTCATTTGTTGCTTTTGAATATGATTCCAATTTTAATACGAGGTCAACTACAGGTATATTGGTGCAAGTATTTAGTGTTATAATTGATAAAAAATGGCATTTAGAGTAAATATTGGTCGCTTCCCTCTTTGCAAAGAAGGATGATATATAAACAGGTGCCTAAAATAGCGATACCACGGATACACACACACACACACACACACACACACACACACACAAATGCACACACACACACACACTGACAGTCAATGAAAACACATCATTTATTTATCAAATAATTTTTAAGTCCCTTTGGAAAATTAAGAAAATAACAGTTTTTGTGTGAAATATGACCCATTATTCAGTAAAACAAGGTGACTCTCTTATGACCAAAGAAGTGCATTTGTACTCGTTATACGGTTGGAATCGATTCTCGGTAAAGAGAAAAAATACAAGAAATTTTCTCATGCGTTTTCATTGACTATCAGTATATATATATATATATATATATATATATATATATATATATATATATATATAACTTAGTTATAAGATGTTCATGTAATTATATTATTGGTTATCGATTTTTGTCAACGTTGATTTTAACATATATGTTTTGATTGCATATATTTTTCTAGGCTTTACGATGGGGGTGATTCTGTAAAAATTGAATAAAATGCTTTATAAAAGGGCATTCTTTATTTATTTATTTATTTATTTATTTTTTGTGTGTGTGTGTGTGAAATATATTTATTTTTACTTTTTACCTAAAAAAAACTAATCTGTGTATAGAGATTAAACAGTGTTTTCTCTGTCGATTTAACTCTACAAGTAATACGATCAGTTCAGTGAAACTGCAAGTAAATATATTTTATATAAAATGCACATAAAGTAATGGACACTGAAGCAATCTGTGCAAAGTTTTATTAGACACTCTAAACATTAAGTAAAGCAGTATAGACTGGAAGTATACTCTATCATAATTGATTACTAGCCAGAATAATAATAATAATAATAATAATAATAATAATAATAATAATAAAGCAAAGGAAATAAAAAAAATACTATCCGAAATTTTTGAAATCTAGATTGAAAAGTTTAACGCATTAGAATAAATGCTACAATAATTTGTGTTTTCCCGAGCAAGCAACTACAATCACACCCTTTTCTACTCTTGAAGCCATTGGCAAACATACATTTTAGTCTCTAATTCTTATTGTTACCCGACTGCAAATCACTCTGTGTACAGAAATTACAAACATAAAATGTTGATATTAGGACCTACTGTGATATCTGTTTTGTGCAATGTCACATACGTATACAAAATTATAATCCAATTGCAATTAAGTTTGGGTGTTCAAATCACTGTGTTTTCTTTCAATTAAAAAGCAGGTTTATGGTCCATCAAGCCATTAATTTCAAGTGTTTTTCATTTTATCGGTGGATATAAACCTTTTCAAAATGAAATATATATTAACGTTTACAAAGCCAGTGACAACGTAGCACAACTAATGCAATGAATTTCAAATTTCATCGGTTCTCACTGGAATGTAATCAGCATTGGATGATCTGCTCTTGCGCATTACGATCACTGCTGCTATGACAACAACGCATGCGCTGACAGCCATGACGCCGGCTCCAAGTGTAGTCGAGGCCGGTGCCTGGGCAACTTCTTCGCTGTCCTCCTGATTCTTCCTTTCGTCTTTTACGGCAAACTCTGGGAAAACAAAGACGGGGTATTTAAACACATTCGATACCCTAGTCATTGGTAGTTGCAGCATTCGGTTACGAGAGAAAAGGGATACAACATCTGCCTCTAATTGCTAGAGGAATACAAAATAAGACCAAAAAGGGGTCATATTATTATGATGAGGGCCGGGTGGAAAATGGCTTCATTAGTCTGCGGCAGAGAGGTGCGGATATGAATCAATTAATTCCAAAAACGCGTTTGGTACGTTTAGTTCAAACAATGAGAAAAACCTTCCCTTTAAATTCAATTTATATATATATATATATATATGACTTGCCTGCTACGGGGTTCTCCTTCTGGACGAACACGGGTCCCTGCACCAGGCTGTACACCTCTACGTCACCAGGTACCGCTCTCTTCCCCCTGCCGCCATTTTGTGGACAGGCGTACCCTTCACTGGGCCGCAGACACCTACTGTCCCGGTCAGTGGCGTTACACACGATGACGTCACAATGGAGGTACACTTCTGGATCGTTGAAGAACTCGAAGGCCTTGACAGCAAACTGCGCATGCGTGTCGTTAGAGGGATAGAAGCGTACCGTAGGGTCGTCTGGGCATCTGGAAATATACAATCATGGATTTATTTAATTTTGCTGATTGTAAACGTTTGACCGATAAATCGGGTAATCACGTTGTGTACCGGTAAATAAGGTAGGGGCCTTCTTAAATGTTCTTTAGCTTGAATTCACCACCATAGTACTGTTGCAACACACTGTAAAACATGTACACGTGATTTTAGCAAGTGATTTTTTTTTTTGTTCTTGCATTAAGCTTAGAAATTTACAGACAACGCTTTCAGTACATACAAACCCTGCAATTGTTACTGTGAGATCACCATACTCACTTGTTGCTAATGAGGGCGTATTGTGGATAGCCCTTCGTAGCCTTTGGCGTCGCCACGCAGTTCTGTAGGACCACCTTAAGATTAACGTCCAGTGTCAGTAAAGCCACGTCCACATACATGTCCTGGTTAAGTCTGACCACGTGGGGATAACTGGTCACGGGGGAGGTGAAGTAATCGGAATGGTACAGGTCCATTCTCAGGGTGAAATTGCCATTAGCGACATACGCTCGGTTGCCATACACTGTACCCTGTATTAACAACAAAGATGAGCCATTTTATAAGTTTGTACAGGCGAATTCAAAAATCAATCAAATGCGCCATAATGTTGATCTGTTACTCTGCATCGATATGACTCGCTATTGTATTGCAAATTGTATAAGGGACTGACACAACTGACCTTGCTTTGATTTAGTAAGTCTGATAACACCACTGATACTAACAACACACGCGTACAAATACCAGGTAGAGCAAGTCATTCATTTATTCCCCGTGTGTTACACAAAGTGAAAGCAAAACCAAAATTATCTCACCTCAGCGACGAATTCCTCTCCTACGTCACCATATCTCGGCAGCACACACTCCACCGTGTACCTGTAGTGCAGCTCGCGGTTGATGAGGGAGTTACTGTACGGACGGAGTACGAGGGCGTTTCTGTAGATGAACGTATCTCTGGTTTCCTTCACAAACGGAACATAATTGTGATTTAATATATGTTATTATCATTTTGCATTTAGGACATACTGCTAACGTCAGCGGAGGCTGATATTGAGACAATATTACTAACGAAGATTACGCGCGGATAATATACTGAAACATCCACAATTTTGTTAACCCCATGGTAATAGAATCGTGCGTTCTAGTATAAGTTAATTTAAATGAAAAGGATGGTGACTTATTAATTTTTTTCATATTGTTGTTACTAATTTCGACCAATATCAATTACCAGTCTGCGTGTTCCACACATTTGAGTGGCAAGGGGCACATGGAATATTACGTTGCCGCCAAGGTATTGGTCAGGAACACAGTTGATGTCATCCAAGGTCAAAGTCATTGGACCAAGTCGAGACTGGATGTTATTTACGTCCACCGCCACAGTCATACCGTTTGTCGAGTCACAATTCACGGAAATGTTAAGGTTCACTGAAACAGCAGTACCACTGTTAAATGTGGGAAATTTAAGTTACATGTTGTATTACAACTTTTGTACTGTAACGACGATTCTAAATTTGGTTAAACCCAAGTCCATCTATACATAGGTGACCACACTTGGTCATTTCAGTCTTTAAAATAGCTTTGGTCGCTTGAGGGTTAAATGCTTTCATCTGTTCGGTAAATACTAGTAAATATTGAAAACGTCCATTGTTAGCTTTTTTTTTCAAAAATAATTGTATGTCTTGGACATTGACATTTAACACATATACTTTTTATGAGTAAGGTGGGGGAAATACACTTTATCAAGAAAGTATTCCTTGATTGATGTTCCATGTATCCATGTTCTTTTATTCTTACCTGGCGGTGCTGCAGTAGCCTCTAAAAAGAAAATAATTTAAATCAAATTTAGACATTATATTGTATCTGCAAGTTGAAGAACTAGTTGATAAAGAAAGAAGCAAGTAATAATACAATTCATTCCTACATGTCCATGTGGAACTTTATGATAACCGCCCCTAAAACACCTGCTGTAAAACAATACTTCTCCAAACAGACCGACATGAACCGACTTCCGTAAGCGCGAGGTAGATCATATTACAGTTAAGTGCTACTTTACATCCCCCCTACAACGGGTTTGATATTTCACGCCGACGTAATTGGCAGTCAGAAAGATGAAGCTTAAATACCGACTTCCGTAAGCGCGAAATTACATCACACATTAACAAAGCATGTAAAACAGCATATTTTAGTCTCCAACGGATATCCAAGATCTTTCACCTTATTAACACCAAGCAAACTGAATTACTCATCCATGCATTTGTAACCTCTAGACTGGATTATTGCAATAGCATATTGTTTGGAATACCTAACTATCGAATGGAAAAGCTACAATCAATTCAGAACTCTGCTGCTCGTCTCCTCTGTAAAGCTCAGAAGTCCGACCACATCACACCAATTCAGCGAAACCTCCACTGGCTACCCGTGTCTCAACGAATAGTTTTTAAAATATTACTTTTGACTTTTAAGTGTGTGTCCATGATAAGACCAGTCAGAGGGTGGCAAGGTGGGGGTCAACAGATTTCAACCAAATTCATAATATTGTAGCATATATAGGAGATATTAAGATTGAAGGCAACAATCCCAAAAGAAATCATTGGATATAATTATAATATGATATTATATGTTTTGGCCATTTTTGGCTTGATTTTCAGCTTCGGTCAATAAAGCCACTTCATAAGCAAATATTTCAAAACTGATGACTTTTTAAAATTAATTGAAAATTTACCTATTTAAACCAGCCATTTGCCATTGAGAATATGTTACTAAATTTCAGTTTAACCCACAAACTAACGAGCCACGCCCATTTTTATGACCCCACCCCCCAAACTCACTTTTCTACCAAGCAATGTTCAAGCATTCATATCTCTCTTTTTGCAGGCTTGACAGCCATAAAATTTTATAGGGATCCTAAGCATATATTGGTCTAATCATACAAAATTCAAAAAGTGTGTTAAACACAACAGAAGATATTGAAAAAGTGCCTCAAACTTTAGCAATTTTAGCAGAAAACCAAACGGCCGAAATCAAGATATCAGTACATTTTGAGATAATACCTTCCAATAATCAAATTTAATCAAAGACTCACAGCCAGGAATTCAAACTATGCTTTGATAAGGGCAAATCTATCCAATTTTTATAAATACAAAATGGCTGCCATCAAATCTGTCCCAAAATACAGTTACCCTAATTCCTCAAAATAATCAAGAGGCCCATTTTTGCAGGTTTTTTATTTTGAGATCTGTAATACAGGATTGCTCAAATAATATTCTTTTCAAACAGAGCCATACAACTTCTGAATAAATTTAAATTACTAGTGACAAGTTATTCCCCCCCCCCATTTAATAAGTTATTACTGTGCATATCCAGTGTCATCGGCATTGTGTATATATCTTATTTTCAGGGAGCAATAGAGAAAAAAAATTACAAATGATTTTTCTAAAGGTAAAAGGGAATGACTGTCTCATTTTATCAGTTTTCTCAAGTGCAACACTAATTAATCCACTTGAAATGATTTATATTGCATTTTTCAACCATTCTTTTTCCTTTCAAATGATTCATAGGCTTTGTAAATGCATCTGATATCTTGATATCTATATTTTTTTCTATAAAGAAAATTAAAACAGAGTCAGCAACATACAATGACAGGAGGAGTACTTTATTTTCATATCATCAATTGGACAGTAAAAGAACAAAGCAGTTACTTTTTACAGGAGTGAAATCAAGTTATGAATCTCCAAGGTTCCAATATAACGGCCATCTTTTCCATATACTGAAGACAACAGTGATGGGTAGTGTTCCACAGATTTTAATCTTATAACTGATTGATACCCAAGTTTCTTCTTCTGGTTGAGAGATCCAGGGTCTACTACAGTAATGATAATTCAGCAATCTTAGAATAAGTGTGGTAACTTGAAGCAACATGCCACTATAGTTTAGTGTGACTAAACTGTCAGTTGTCAATATTTGTCAATTCAATGGCGCCAATCCTCCTTTCCTACAAAACTGATTGAGATTGCCAAGCCTAATATGCATATTTGTTATGAGGGATTGCCCCAAGGTGGCTCTAAGTCCAATAAAGGTTTGCCAGGATATCCACTACTGCGTCTACCTGAAGATGGCAGGGCAGGCTGTCAAAAGAAAATGTATTAAACATATTTTAAACTCATGTTAATTGCTGTATAAGAACAATTACTGAATAATATTCTGATCAAACATATTGCATAAGTGTAAAAAAGGAAATCAAATATGCATGATTGTAGCTACCAGTATTTCATGATAGAAAAAGAAACAAATGAAAAAAAGGTTAACCTTTTTTCTTCTACGTGGAAGTGTTCCAGGCATTACAAAGTTGGTGCTCACATCTGAATCTGATGAATTTGCCTGTGCAATTTCAGGTGACTTTTCTATTATTGTCTGTAAGATTGTCCAGGTCAAGGTTCACATACAGGCCTAGGATGGTAAATCTGAAAAATAAACATAGTATCAATAAATGCTTTACAACAACAGAAGCTTACTGTGTTCAGAATAAAAACTATCGTAGCAGGATCAATCTATCTCAGCGGAGTATCACACTTGGGCTCAGTCGTTGTAATCAGCTTAATTGTCTGGCACGCCCCCTTGCAAAGCAACATGAACAACATAATGGACCGCGAAGTTTTCCTGATTTTACTAAAGTACCTTTAGTTACAAGTGTCCTGTGTAATATGTAAGTCTTGAAAATTGAAGCACAGGTGGTTAACTTCAACTTCATTGTAAACACACATAAATCTGCATAGTGAATATAAAACTAAAATATAAAAAAACTGGCACAAGTAACATCCCCTAAAATGCCAAAACTTGAAACTGAATGTGTTTTACATACCTTTGATTCTGGGTAAGAAATTTCTTATGAAGCTGTCTTCAAGCTCAGTATAGTCTTTATCTGTTTGTGTTATGATAACACATGTAACAAAGCCCTAGAATTTAATGCAAAAATATACTTCATAAGTAAGATACACAGTTCTTTTACACAATACACAATTCTTTTCAGCATACATGTTTACCATGAAACAGAAATCAAGTAAAACTCTGTGAATTGAAATATATCAGTATGTCTTTTAATTTTGCTTATATTCTTTATATTACTGAATAATATTCAAACTTATTATTTAAACTGGTTTGACTTTTTAGTGTATCTGATTCTAGTATATGTATGCCACCACTGATCACTTACCTTACATCAAACATCCAGAGCTAAATCGATGAGATGGATATATTGAGGAACCCAAGCCTGACAACAGTCTGAAGTGGTTCAACCAAAAAATGCACATTCTAAGGACGACCAGCTGCTATGGTCATTTCTTGTTATATTTTGGTGCACACCAATCCTTCTGAGATGTACCTAAGCATCTCTAGTGTGTGTTCTTCATAAATTTAAGAAAGTATTATGTTTTAACACTGTGAAGACGATGTGCTTTGCTCCACAGTTGCTCCGGTGATAATCCTAGTACCCGCCATGTTGAAAATAGGTCACAGAGTTAGCATCGTTATTTTACATTTAGTTTCTACAACATAAACAAATAAAAAAATGTATTTTCGCTTCATAAGTTCGTCTGCAGGGCAAACATAATTATTTTAAGGGCTTTTCACAAACCTATACATGGTTTTGACCTATTGATTTAGTTGAAGAAACAGTTTAGCATTTAAGTAGTATAAATTTTTTTCGTTTTTAGGCCCTTTTTAAAATTATTATAGTTCTTATTTTACAAGGTTTAACACAGTTTTTATTTCATAAAATTTATTTTGCAACCCTTTTCTATCAGCACATACCAAAATTATATGGATACAACCTGCAAAAAAGAAGATGTGTGCATTTAAAGAAGGGGAGGGGGTCAAGCATACGGAAAACATGCCTTATTAGAATCAACCTTGTGTGGTCATGACAGTGCCTTTTCAAAAAAATCTGTACTGGGTATTAAAGGTCTTTCCTTAACCTATCATGTGGCATACCTAAATAATTCCTTATGATGTACATGATTTTTTAAAAGAATATTTAAAATTATAACTTTTCAGGAGCTAAAAAATGCTATATTTTGGCAAAATTGCCAATAAAAGATCTGCCCCCATATCTCTAAAACTAATGATCCAAAATAAGAAAGCCAGTGGCTCACAATATCTTTTATGTTGATGGTTTACCACACCAAAAATTATTAAAATCTGCTGACCCCCACCTTGCCGCCTTCTGACTGATCTGTCTGGCTTTCTCATGGACGCGCTCTTAAGATTTTAAAGGGCGACTGTCCATTTTACTTAAACTCTACCATAGAACTTTTAACTCCTATCAGATCACTTCGATCTAGTGGACAACTTCAACTTAAGTGAAAAGACATCAAAAAGACTCTTAAAACATATGGACACAGAAGTTTAGAGATTTGTGCACCGATTATATGGTCTAATTTTATCACCAGATCTAATGTGTCTCTGGATGACTCATATTACTGTTTTAAGAAGAATTTAAAAACTTTTTTATTTGAAGAATACTTTATTTTATAGCATCTTTTTAGTTTTTAAAATATTTAAGTATTCTGTTCTTAGTCTATACTAGCTTTAATTTATCTGTGGAGTTTTTATTTTTTATGTAAACAGCGCTGAGACGCATGTGTAGGGCGGTTTTAAGAAGTGTTTTATTATTATTATTATTATTATAATTAGTATTTCACGCGCTATCGGTACAAGACTGGCTCTCTTTCCAGCAATGTATGTACGATATATTTAGGTGAAAAGTACGATAAAGTTTTGAGAGCTCCTGCAACGCGGGGGACGCACTAGTCTGCTGTCAATTCAGATATGAGTACCCATACTTTCCATTCGTTGGGAATATAGTATATAAACGTTAAATAGGGGTTAAAAGGTCAATTTTCGTGCTAATCTATAAAAAAGATACTCACGTGCACAAGCATCCGTGGCTAACTCTGTCTCTATATTTGACAGGGCACTGAAGTCTGTTACAGTAAACACGAATTTGCTATCCGGGTCGGTGGCCATGGCCTCCAGCTCGGCAGTATAAGCATTACTCCCAACTCCAATTGCGAACACAGACGCAATATTACGCAGCTTATTTGCTTCTCTGGCGGTTGCCGCCATGTTATTAGATCTACCGTCGGTCATGACGATTACGAGGTTCGGTACGTTTGGCCGATCGCCTTTGGCAGCCGTGAAACTGCTGGTGCGGGCGGTGGAGAGAGCTAGGGCTGTGTTAGTACCACCACTCTTCTGCCTGATCCTGTCCACGGCGGCTAGGATGGCGGCCTCGGTGCTGTGAGTGTTAAGGTTGAACTCCTGCACTGCGTAGGTAGAGTACTGCAGAACGCCGACCTTTACCGCGTTTGGTCCAACGTCAAATTTCCTCACCAAAGACTTGATGAAATGTAGTTGTTTGGCAAAGTCGGGTGCGTTGACGCTTCCAGATCCGTCCAAGATAAAAATTATGTCTGCCTGGGCCTTGCAAACTGTAAATATAACAAAGTTTATTATTTTACACACACACAAAAAAAAAATAAAAAAAAAAAAAAATAATAATAATAATAATAAATAATAATAATAAAACAAAGTCGGTAAACATGTCACACTTGATAGTTTGGAGGTGGATTTATTTCCATACAATCTCATTGTATAATGCCACAAGAGACCCTGCAAATAAACTATGTGCTCTGTCAAATATGTCACTTTTTGTTCACAATTGCTTTCTTGGTTTCTACTAACAAGCTAGAAGAAAAAATGACAAACCCGGTGAACTACTCAAAAATCGAATCAAGAAATCACCATCATACAAATAACTCTGCCTAAAGGGATAATAGCTCTTCGTATGAGATATACCCTGTATATTTCAAAATAAAAAAAACATTGCGAACAACTCACAGAAATATGATATATTATGTTTTACCACAAAAACGACAGTTAAAGCTTTTATTCTGATATCTGAACTTGTCTTTAGAACACGTGACCTCCATTGATGGCTATACTCTGTTAAAAAATCTTAAAAGATTAAAAAAAAAACAACATTTTAGAAAAATAAACAGGAACTAACGAGCTAGCTTTGAATGTAAAATGGATTCATTAACCATTGATTAGTATGGGGAAATTGTTGTTTACTCCAGGAAATTCATTTTTTGGCCACAACGAAGAGTTATTATCCCTTTAAGACGCGAGGATGATGCCCTGCATATTTACTGCAAAGAAAGAAAGATAGGGAGAGGGAGGGGTAGTGATGGTTGTTTTTTTTAATGGAGCAAATAAATCACGATTTTATACACAATATCAGCTAAAATTGACCGTAAATCACCGAAATAAAATTTGATAAATATCCACATGTATATCACCTAACTAGAGGTGAACTATATTATCATGATCAGTTTAAAGGGATAATAACTCTTCATATGAGATCTATATTTCACAATAAAAAACATTGTGAATAACTCATAGAAATATAATATATTCCATTTTACCACAAAAACGGCAGATATAGCTATTATTCTGATATCTGAGCTTGTCTTTAGAACACGTGACCTCCACTGATGAATATACTCTAAAAAAACAAACTTTTTAGAAAAAAAAAAAAAAAAAAAAAAAAAAAAAACAGGGACTAACTTTGAATGTAAAAATGGATTCACTTAACCATTGGTAAGTATAAGAAAATTGTTGTTTACTCCAGAAATTCACTTTTTTGGCCGAAACGAAGAGTTATTATCACTTTAACTATATGTACTTCACTAAATATAGTGTCTATATCATTGATATAATACGCCCAATAATTAAAGTATATAATAAACCTGTACATACTTGGTGTTACTGATTCGTTTGTGGGGCTTTCGGTAGTTGGCCACCCTGGAGTTGAAAAAAAATGATACATATTATTTAACACACATTGGATTGCATCAGCATAAAAGTATATTTTCGTGTATGATATTTTTCAGTGCTTTAATATAGACACCGATGTTAGATAACACGGCAACAACTTACCAGATGCACTTCCTCGTATGAATTACAGATATGATGTGATATGCTATGGGTTTGAAACGTTACATACCATAATATTCACATCTCTTCCCGAACTTATATGGGGGACATGTGCAGTTGTAGTCCACATAATCATAGGGCCAGTAATAATACTCACCATAATATTCACATCTCTTCCTGTATCTAGCCCAGGGACAGGTACAGTTGTAGTCCACTTAGTTATAAGGCCAGTAATAATACTCACCATAATATTCACATCTCTTCCTGTATCTAGCCCAGGGACA